GCAAAAATTCATCTAGTTTTGCCACGGAAACGATGTTTTCATGAATAAAACGCCTGCTGTTGGTGATAAGATCGTCACACTCATATTTCTCAGCGAGGTAAAAGGTCGAAATACAGTTTATGGATGACATTTCTCGTTCCAAAAACCGCCCTGAAATAGTTTTTAAGCTCGGCATGATCATATAATTTCCTGCAGCGATCAGTTCCTCGGCATTCTCTTGAGTCACATCCACAGTTCCAGTGTAGATGAATTCCAAAACATCTTTCAGAACAGATCCTAAAATCTCCTCGAGGCGAACGATCCCTTTTCGATTCTCTTTCATGTTACTCCGAAGAAGTTTGTCAAAGAACGGACTTGCGGTGGAAAGCACATTTCTATGAGCCTTAAATTCTATGTTGTCTCTCGAAACCAAAGTGATGTCGGACAAATAATCTTGTTTTCGCTGAATGTTGAGGCGCTTCATCAGTTCCACACAGAAAGGCTCCTGTCAAGCGGCTAAGATAGCCTGTACATATCTTCCATTTTTTACAGAATTTCCTTGTTTCTGTGGGTAGTTTCTGCTCAAACTTTTCTGATATTGTGGATTACTCAGCGAAAATATCCAAAGCGAGTAAAGCTGGTTCCCAGTTTTCCCTACGCTCGTTCGATTTTCTTTTTCCGAGTTTGATGGAAGACTTTGAGGACGATTAGCCAAAACAACCCCAAGGTGACCCGAAAGGGCTGTGGGCATAATCTTGGGATACAGGGGGGAAGACAGAACCTGAACTATTTTGAGAAAATATCCTTAAGGCATATTTGCAGGAAGAAATATATAAAAAGATATATAAATTTTAATTGTTCAAAGGTACAGAGGGCACAAAGATGAAGAATAAAGGATAACCTCGGCTCAAATCCAGCACAACTATTGAGTTATGAACGGTAATCTTCCTTCCCGGGGAATTTTGTGTAAATTTTGCTTCTATTTGCGTCGCAAATCTATACAAAAATAGAGCTTCAAACAAAATAACAGTAAAAGAACAGCATGTCTGCGATTTCCCTGGGATTTCCTTTCTCACGACATCCTCCAAACAGTCACGCAACAAAAAACCCGGTCGAACGTCACCAAAAAATTCATCAAATCCTGATCCTGCCTTTCGCTCACTCCTACTATGGTTTACCCTGCTTGATATGATTTTAAAGACTTCAGCTTCCCCTTTGAATCTAATCTCGTCACTCGAAATTTACCTCTCGACTTCTGTAGTTTCCAAGTGCAAAAATTCATCCAGTTTTGCAACGTAAACTATGTTTTCGTTAATTTATAAAAAAAACTGTCGTTGTTATGTTGATAAGCTCGTCTCACTCATATCTCTCAGCGAGGTAAAAGGTTGAAATAAAGCTTAATTTCGACATTTCTCGTTCCAAAACCGCCCTAAAGCCGAGCTGTTTTCAAACTTGGTATGATCAGATATTTTTCAGCGGCGATTAGCTCCTTGGCATTCCCCGGAGTTACTTTGACAGTTCCAGTGTGTAGATGAATTCCAAAACATCTTCCCTAACATATCCTAAAATCTCCTCAAATCGAATATTTCCTTTTCTATTTCCTTTCATGTCGCTCTGAAAAAGCCTGCAAAAGAACGGACTTGCGGCAAAAAGAACATTTTCGGTGAGCCTTTAACTCTTAATTAGCTGTTATCTTTGGACAAATAATCTTGTTGTTGCTGAATGTTGAGTCGTTTCATCATTTCCACACAGAAAGTAGTTTATTCAACGGCTGAGATTGACTGTAAGTCTTCCATCTTCTGCAGAATATCTTTGTTTCCGGGGAGAGATCCCTCCAAATACCTTTTAGTGGTGTGGAATACTTTAAGAAAGTTGTCAGAATGGGAAGTTCTCTACCTCGTTCCCACCCTATCCAGCCCCAAAATCCCTCAAGAGAAGAGTATAAGACTGAAGGGAAATAAGTTATATATTGGGGAGAGTTCTA